ATCTGCTTTGAACTGAGTTGTCTTAAGTCCACACTGTCAGATAATCCAGTTCAACGTGTTTAGATAGCTGTGTGGAAGGGGTCTTAGGAGATCCATTAATAGATTCCCCCCCCCCCCTTATTCAAGTCCAGTCCAGCATCGGAAACTCTGCTTCTCTAATATAATGTATAATGTATTGTCGAAGGCTTTCCTGGCTGGAATCACTGGGTTGTTGTAGGGTTTTTTGGGCTATATGGCTACAATATCTGCTTTGAACTGGATTATTTGAGTCAACTCTGCCACATAGTCCAGTTCAATGTAGATTTTATACAGCTGTGTGGAAGGGGCCTTTGAGAACTCTTAAGCACAATGTGGGGCACCCTTTACACTGTCATATAATATCCAGATTATTTATTTATTTATTAATGCGCTTGTATACCGCTAATATCTCAGCCTAAATCGGCGACTCATTGCGGTTTACAACAATTAAAAAACAATATTCAATTTAAAAGCATACAACACATATACAATACAAGTTATTGGGCCACCAATAACAATCCCATGCATCTCGTAACTGAAATCGCAATCCAAAATTCATCGTCCATGATTACCATCCTTTAGTCATCAAAATTCGTTGCAACGGATTAACCGAATGCTTGTTTAAACATCCATGTCTTCAATCTTTTCCGAAACACCATCAGCGAGGGGGCTGATCGTACCTCTATGGGGAGGGTGTTCCAAAGCCGAGGGGCCACCACAGAAAAGGCCCTGTCTCTCGTTCCCGCCAGCCGCACTTGTGAAGCCGGCGGGATAGAGAGCAGGGACTCTCCAGAAGATCTTAGGGTCCTGGTGGGCTGATAGGCTGAGATACGTTCGGATAGATAAGTTGGGCCAGAACCGTTTAGGGCTTTAAAGGCCAGCGCCAGCACTTTGAATTGAGCCCGGTAGCAAATCGGCAGCCAGTGGAGCTGGTGCAGCAGAGGAGTTGTATGCTCCCTGCGCCCCGCTCCTGTTAGTATCATGGCTGCCGCCCGTTGGACTAATTGGAGCTTCCGGGCTGTCTTCAAAGGCAGCCCCACGTAGAGAGCGTTGCAGTAGTCAAGGCGGGATGTAACCAGAGCGTGGACTACCGTGGCCAAGTCAGACTTCCCAAGGTACGGTCGCAGTTGGCGCACAAGTTTTAACTGTGCAAATGCTCCCCTGGTCACCGCCGAAACCTGGGGTTCCAGGCTCAATGATGAATCCAGGATCACACCCAAGCTGCGAACCTGCGTCTTCAGGGGGAGTGCGACCCCGTCCAACACAGGCTGTAACCCTATACCCTGTTCGGCCTTGCGACTAACCAGGAGTACCTCTGTCTTGTCTGGATTCAATTTCAATTTGTTCGCCCCCATCCAGACCGTCACAGCGGCCAAGCACCGGTTCAGGACCTCGACAGCCTCCTTAGTAGCAGCCTCCTTTATCTGCTATAAAATGGATTATATAGAGATGGCACTGTAGACATATATAATCCAGTTCAAAGCAGATAATGTGGTTTGAAAAGGGCAGGGGAGATTCACACAATGCTGTCTGACTGATGGCTACGCTGGGGAGTAGCAACTAATAATGAAAGGACCAAGGCTGTGACATCTCCGGCCGACCCCCTGTTTAGGTATTAGCCAGCATGTCAATGATTTAAATCAAGAAATAGTTTTCTAAGATCTACAGAGACACTTACTGGAACACCTCAACAAGCGAGAGTCCAAAAGTGGCAGGCTCAAACCCAGAACCTCAACCAACGGCTGATACCCAATGAGAGACTCCCCCCTGGGCACACGGAAAACTGGGTGACTTGGAAGGTGCTGAACAGACTGCGCTCTGGCACCACGAGATGCAGAGCCAGAAATGGGGCTACAAAGTTGAATCCTCGACATGCGAGTGTGGAGAAGAGCAAACCACTGACCACCTGCTGCAATGCAACCACATGCACAATGGAGGACCTTCTTGCAGCAACACCAGAAGCACTCCAAGTGGCCAGATACTGGTCAAAGGACATTTAACCAACTACCAAACTCACAAGTGTTGCATTTGTCTGTTTGTTTGCTTTGTTCTGTTAGAAATGTGACAAATAAATAAACCAGAGGCACTCCAAGTGGCCAGCTACTGGTCAAAGGACATTTCCTAGAATACCAAGCCTGTAAACTTTGTGTTTTGATTGTTTGTTTTTAATGCAATACAACTGTTTTGGTTTGCTCCTGACACGATAAATAAATAGCCATGAGCCAGGCCCGTAGCCAGGATTTTGATTCGGGGGTGGGGGGCAGAGTGTAAAGAGGGTCTACCCTAGCAAACCTTTTGTATTGTTACCCCAATACCCCCATGCATATGGGATATATTGAGTATGGTGATCAGATCATGATACGAATAAACATAACAGTTTAAATAATGTCCCAGTAAGGCCTTTTCGCGGACCACCAGGAGAATTTCAGGGGGGGGGGGTCTGAAGCTCCTCAAGCCCCCCCCCCGGGCTACATGCCTGGTGAGCCTGCCACTTTTGGACTCTCGCTTGCTGAGGTGTTCCAGCGAGTGTCTCTGTAGATCTTAGAAAACTGTTTCTTGATTTAAGTCATTGGCCTTGTTCTGGAACAGCTGTTCCAGGAGCTCCAATTTTATTTGCTTTGAATTAAATGTTGGTTTGCAATCCCAGGCTTGGGATTTTGCAGCAGGGTGGCTTCCTGTTATAGTTTGCAATCATAGGGCAAGCCTATTATAGTTAGGATCCCTGGTCCCGCCCCTCTCTGGGTTTTTTGGAGGGAAGGGGCCATTTTTCTGTTAGTCTCAGCAAAGGAAGTCAATGCAGAGGATGTATACAGACGTCCTCTTGTGCAAAGGCTTCATCCCTTAAGACTTTCTGGGGGAGAACAGTCTTGAGAGCCTCTGAAGGTTCCCAAAGGTTCCGGGAATCTTCAGATTGGATCCAGCGGGACGCCAGGGGCCCTGAAAAGAAGCCTTTAGATAAATTTCCCTTATTAAACAGTCTTCATGAGGCTTGAGCTTAAATATAACAGTCTTTTATTACAGCCCTGAGGAATTCCGGAGGGAATAACAGCTCTAACCATCAAAGCAGCTAAGTGATTACAAGCCTTTTGATAGGTTCGCTCGGCATTGAGACATAGTTCAGTCCGGTAGTGAATCCACATCAATAAGGTTTAGGTTCACACAGGCCCGTAGCCAGGATTTCGATTGGGGGGGGGGGCTGAGTTTGTTTCGGGGGGGGGGGGGGGCTGAGTCTGAGTGAAAGAGGGTCTACCCTAGCAAACCTTTTGTATCATTACCCCAATACCCCCATGCATATGGGATATATTGAGTATTGTGATCAGATCATGATATGAATAAACATAACAGTTTAAATAATGCACCAGTAAGGCCTTTTCACGAACCACCATGAGAATTTGGGGGGGCTGAAGCCCCTCAAGCCCCCCCCGGCTACATGCCTGGTGAGCCTGCCACTTTTGGACTCTTGCTTGCTGAGGTGTTCCAGCGAGTGTCTCTGTAGATCTTAGAAAACTATTTCTTGATTTAAGGCATTGGCCTGCTGGCTGATATCCAAACTGGGAATGGATTTCGTTGTGTAAAGTTGAAAGGTTCCTAGCAGCTTGGCCCTCTTTTTGACTTGGCTTGTGCTGCGACTGGATGAGAAGCTCTGGAGGCGAAGTTAAGAGCTTCACCTCTTACACCTAACCTAACACCTCTCAACAAAAGATTTCCCCAGGCTCAGCTAGGCCTTCAAATGCTAATGAAGGTGGTCAGTTGAAACATTCATAGCTCCAGCAGAGAAGAGCCCTTTGCCCCACCACAGTCATTCCACAGATATATAAACCCATTTTCCTAACTCCAACAGACCTCACTACCTCTGAGGATGCTTGCCATAGATGCAGGCGAAACGTCAGGAGAAAATCTGCCTCCAGAACATGGCCATATAGCCCGGAAAAACCTATAACAACCCAGTGATTCTGAGCCATGAAACCTTCGACAATACATTGCACTATTATTTGCAATTTTTGGGGGGGGGGGGGGGGCTGAGTCTGAGTGAAAGAGGGTCTACCCTAGAAAACCTTTTGTATCGTTACCCCAATACCCCCATGCATATGGGATATATTGAGCATGGTGATCAGATCATGATATGAATAAACATAACAGTTTAAATAATGTACCAGAAAGGCCTTCTTGCGGACCACCATGAGAATTTCGGGGGGGGGGGGCTGAAGCCCCTCAAGCCCCCCCCCTGGCTACATGCCTGGTGAGCCTGCCACTTTTGGACTCTCGCTTGCTGAGGTGTTCCGGCGAGTGTCTCTGTAGATCTTAGAAAACTATTTTTGATTTAAGTCATTGGCCTGTTGGCTGATATCCAAACTGGGAATGGATTTCGTTGTGTAAAGTTGAAGGGTTCCTAGCAGCTTGGCCCTCTTTTTGACTTGGCTTGTGCTGCGACTGGATGAGAAGCTCTAGAGGCGAAGTTAAGAGCTTCACCTCTTACACCTAACCTAACACCTCTCAACAAAAGATTCCCCCAGGCTCAGCTAGGCCTTCAAATGCTAATGAAGGTGGTCAGTTGAAACATTCACACCTAGCTCCAGCAGACAAGAGTCCTTTGTCCCACCCTGGTCATTCCACAGATATATAAACACTTTTCCTCCTTCCAACAGACCTCACTACCTCTGAGGATGCTTGCCATAGATGCAGGCGAAACGTCAGGAAAAATGCCTCTGGAACATGGCCCTATAGCCCGAAAAAACCCACAAGAACCTAGCGATTCCAGCCATGAAAGCCTTCGACAATACACTGAAGTTAAGAGAGTTTTTACCGGGAAAGGGGGGGGAGGAGAGAGGCGCGCGCGACGCTCCTAATTGGACAGCTTCCTGCAGGCCCCGCCCCAAGGCGAACTTGGGGAGGGCTGTTCAGGGGCAAGTGGGAGGGGCGCGGGAAGCCCCCATTGGCCCGAGAGCACGCGACGGCGCTCGAGACGGTGGAGGGGGCGGGGCTTTCTTTGGGCTCCTCCCGCCGGCGAGGCCCCAACTGCACTTTGCCACTCACCCGCCGGCTGGACGGTGGCTGCTGCCCTGCTCTCTCTCCTGAGGGTCCCTCAGCCTCGCCATGCCTCGGAGCCTGGCCGCCTTCCCGCTCCTTCTCCTTCTGGCGGGGCCCGGGGCGCTGGGCGCGGGCCTGTACTCGCCCTTGGACCCGCTGGCCGTGCTGGGGGCCGACTCACTGGAGCGGCGCCTCTTCAACTCGAGCAGCGCCTGGGTGGTGGAGTTCTACGCCTCCTGGTGCGGGCACTGCATCCGCTTCGCGCCCACCTGGAAGCAGCTGGCGCGCGACATCCGCGGTAAGAGAGCGCGCGCGCGAGAGAGACTGAGGGAAAGAAGGGCGGCCAGAGTGTGCCTGCCAAGCCCTGGGAGGAGAGGCTGGAGGAGCTGGTCTGCAGAAGAGGAGGCAGGCAGTGTCTCAATATTCGAAAGGCTGTCCCCAGGAAGAGGAAGCAGGCCTGTGTTCTAGACTAGGACTCAATGGAGCAATGTATTCAAATGACAGGGATGGAGATCCCACTTGTGTGAGCTGTTCAGCAGTGGAACTCTCTGCCTCGAAGTGTAGTCTTGTAAACAGAAGCTGGATGGCTGTCTGTCGGGGCAACATTGATTGTGCTTTTCCTGCATGGCAATATAAATAAATGTAATGTTAGTTTGTGGGATTAACAGAACTCAAAAACCACTGGACGAATTGACACCAAATTTTGATACAAGACACCTAACAACCCAATGTATGTCCTTCACTCAAAAAAATGGATTTTGTCATTTGGGAGTTGTAGTTGCTGGGATTCATAGTTTACCTACAATCAAAGAGCATTCTGAACCTCATCGACGATGGAATTGAAGTAAACTTGGCACACAGTTCTCCCATGACCAACAGAAAATACTGGAAGGGTTTGGTGGACAGTGTCCTTTGGTTTTGGAGTTGTAGTTCACATACATCCCGAAATTACTGTGGACTCAAAACAATGATGGATCTGGACCAAACTCTACACGGATATTCAATATGCCCTAATGTGAACACTGGTGGAGTTTGGGGAAAATAGAATCTTGACATTTGGGAGTTGTAGTTACTGGGATTTATAGTTCACCTACAATCACAGAGCAGTCTGAACCCCACCAATGATAGAATTGGGCCAAACCTCCCACACAGAACCCCCATGTGGGCCACAGCAGCGTGTGGCAGGGGGCGGCTAGTTGTACTATAACATTATACTGTAATATTATTAGTAATATTGCATGTAATATAAATATATAATTATAATATAATACTATTATTAGTAGTAGTGAGTCTACTCTGTCATATAATCAAAGCAGATAGTCTGAATTTTATATGGCAGTGTAAAAGCCCCCAGTCTCTAGGGCTGCTGAAAGTGTGACATCTTTTCAAATATTTACACATGGCTATCAGGTCCCCTCAGCCTTATTCTCTCCAATCCAGTCTCATTGTTTTCTTTGAGTGATCACTTCCAGGCTATTTGCATAAGATTGCAGCTTTAAACTGTTGCTTCCTGCTTTTCCCCCTTTTGTCCAGTCTCCCCACACAATTAGGAAATACCCACTGTAGGCTGGAGCCCTCACGTATACAAACCTTTCATTTGCCTATGCCTTATATCCTTGCTTAGGCAAACCACGAATCCATGCTCAATCAGAGTTAACCTGGTCTTTGGGAGGAGGAAAACTTGATATCCCTTAAAATTGCAGGGAGAAGAACAACTTTTTTAGTAGAAAGAGTTGAAATATGTGCCATTTCTCCCCTTACTTACTGATTCCAGCTTCCTTCGTGCTGCCCTGCTGTGCTCTCTTCCTGTGCCAACCCCCCCCCCCCAAACTTTCTTGCTTTGCCCTCAGTTGTGCCGCTTTCCTAGAATTTCCTTTCCTCGCTTCTCTGTTTTTTGAAAAGAGTACTCACACCCAGTGCCAAGGCCACAGTCAGATGGTGAGCGCTTGGCTTAGTTGAGACCTGAACTGGCTTCTGGCATCACTTCATCCCTCTGCTTTCCTGAGTTAAGGAAACAGGTTCTTTAGCCATACCAGTTAGCTAGTTTTCTAGAACATCCAAGTTGGGAAAAGATGGTCAGTAGCTTTGGAATGAACCAAAATATCGACATGTATGATTTAAAGTTGGTTTCTGTATCCTGGTTCATTTGGAAGGCCTTAGCTGTAGCTTTCTGAACATAGTTTCTTGATGTGGATCAAAGCAGCTGTAGGGGACTGCACAAAGTAAGTCTGCTTCCCAGACACCTTCTACATTGTCATATAATCCAAATCATCAAAGCAGATCCATATTATCTGCTTTGAACTGATTATATGAGTCTACCCTGCCATAACAGATAATCTGCGTTTTATATGGCAGTGTAGAAGGGGCCTCCATTTATTAAAATGAGACTTGATTTTCCAAACCTGGCTGTGTATTAACTACTTATTGTAATGTTGTCCTCTTTCCGGATTCTGAGTTCAGTGCCTTTTTGTGTTAGTTATAAGTGTCTCTTACTCTGAGAAACTGGATTCAAAGTTGCAGTATATGTATTGACAAAGATATAAATCAGACTGCCACATGATGTGGGGTACTAGCAGGCCTCTGACTTCGATAGTTTTAGAAAGGGAAAAGGCAAAATGTATTCATCGCTGAGCCTGGAACCCCAGGTCTCGGTGATGGCTGGGAGAGCTTTTGCACAATTAAAAATTGTGTGCCAACTGCTCCTGTACCTTGGGAAGTCTGATCTGGCCACGGTAGTCCACACTCTGGTTACATCCCGAATAGATTACTACAATGCACTCTACGTGGGGTTGCCTTTGAAGACCGTTTGGAAACTTCAACTAGTCCAATGGGCGGCAGCCAGATTACTCACTGGAGCACCATATAGGGAGCAAGCCCCCCCCCCCCCCCCCCCCCCCCCCCCCCCCCCCCCCCCGTTACGTCAACTCCACTGGCTCTGCCGGTCCATTTCCAAGCACAATTCAAAGTGCTGGTCTTGGCCTATAAAGCCCTATACAACTCCGGCCCAACTTACTTGTCTGAACGTATCTCCCTCTATGTTCCGCCTTGTAGTTTTAGATCCACCAGGGAGGCCCTACTCTTGGTCCCACTGGCCTCGCAAACGCATCTGGTGGGGACGAGGGACAGGGCCTTCTCGGTGGTGGGCCTGCTTGTGGAATTCGCTCCCCAGTGAGATTAGATTGTCGTCCTCCCTCCTTTTCTTTAGGAAAAAACTGAAATTGTGGTTTTGGAACCAGGTTTTTGGTTAGCAGGCACAACTGCACTTTGGACATTGAATTGGACCATATGATGATTGCTATGATAATGGAAACGATAATGATTGTATAATTAATGTTACTGTTTTAATCTATTGTGTTTTTATGGTTTTATATTGTTATTTTGTGATATTGCAGCATCGAATTGTTGCCAATGTTAGCCGCTCTGAGCCCCCCCTCGGGGGTTGAGAAGGGTGGGGTAGAAATGTTGTAAATAAATAAATAATATAAGACAGTGGTGCCCCTTCTACACTGCCATAAAATCCAAATGATCAAAGCAGATAATCCACATTATATGATTATATGAGTCTGCCATATAACCCAGTTCAAATCAGATAATCTGGATTTTATCTGGCAGTGTAGAAGGGGCCTGTGTTGACTCCTCTAAAGGCATTGGATTGTGCCATTATGGGGAACAGTGTTCTGGTGTATCCCAACTCTCCTTAAGGTGTTTTGGCCTAGTGTTTCCATCCAGTAAACAGTTCCTCCACATAACCTGTCTAATTTTTGCCTACTTTGCACAATTGTGAACAATGTAAACAAAACATTGTTCCTGTCCTGAGAAGTATACAATCCAAATATAGGCTCGAAGTGGGAGGAGGAAAGGCAGGTGAAGCAAGGAATAGCAAGTATAAAATGAGGATAAATGAAAACAAGTCGCTTGCAACTACCCTTTTAGCTATCAGTTTCCTACTACTTCATCACACTAGAGAAATAATCCACTTTAAATCTGGCTTCTGCCTCCTGCAGAATTCTAGGGTTTGTAGTTTAGTGAGGCTGTTGAAGGCTCCTCCTCAAACTGTTCTGCTTGGTATCTTTTTTTAGTGCCCCTCTGCTGCCAGACCCTCCCTGTATTCTGTTGAATTCCTTTGTGTGAGATTCATGCAAGAGATGGCTATGTGCCTCTGGCATGTACTATTGCCTAGCAGGAATTTATAGTGATGTGAAAGCACTTAAGCATTTGTTTGCGTCCAAGTAGTCCATCTGGAAGCTCCCTTATGCTCCCTTCCACAGTATGATCCTTCCGTGGATCTGATCTGTTTCAATGTGGCTTCAGCAGGAGGAACTGGTGAATTCTGCCTTGTCCAATATGGACTATGTACCTACTAAAGCTGTAATACAAAACTTATCACTAGCAGGCCCTTACATACTTCCTACTACTTTGTCTAGTTAGAGTTAAGTCCCAACCAGCAGAAAAAAGTCTCCCCTCCCCAACCCCCCTCTGCTGTCCCATGTACTAAATTTTCTTTATGTGAAGTGAGATGTTGTGCATAATGTGTTGAATTGCTCAACAGAGTTTATTTTTATTTTGTATTTTGTATTTCATGAAGAGATTTAGTTTTGTGTTAGAACTCTTTACAACATTTTTTCAATGTGATTATTCCTGACATGTTTATTGCTGATGGCATGAATTTAAAACACACACACATACACAGTTTAATTTGAGGTATTGTTTAGCGCAAAGTACTGTACTGCTGTTTCTCCTTAATAATAATAAACCATTATTTATACCCCGCTACCATCTCCCGCAGGACTCGGTGCAGCTTACAAGAGGCCGGGCCCAATACATCATAWAACATAACAACAACAATACAACAATAAATAACTCATAAAAAACAAAACAATACAATAATGACATGATGCAATTAAAAACCTGTGCCAAGGCCAAATGTAAGAATTAAAATTTTAAAATGCTGGGCATGTCCAGGGAAATAGGTTGGATATTTTAAAGATAGGTGGGCGGGTASASACAGTACTAACTCTCTCGTAAAGTGCATTTGGGACATATTGCTAGGGAGTCCTTATTCTGGGAAGGCACACTGGAACATCCACATCTTCGAGCTCCTTRTAAAAACTGCRAARGTTGGGGCCTGCCRGATGTCCTTGGGGAGGGAGTTCCAGAGTCATGGGGCCACCACCAAAAAGGCCATGTCCCTCGTCCCCACCAATRGCGCTTGRGATGCAAGGCCTCTCCAGATGAACGAAGAGATCATGTGGGTTCATATACAGAAATGCAGTCACGCAGGTAGATGGGTCCCAAACC